TACAAACTTACTGAGGGTGCACTCGATCCCCTCGTCCAGATCATTGAGAAAGATATTGAACAAGACTGGCCCCAAAACTGAGCCCTGGGGAACACCGCTGGTGACCGGCCGCCAACTGGATTGAACTCCATTCACCACAACTCTCTGGGCCCGGCCGTCCAGCCAGTGTTTTACCCAGCGCAGAGTACACCTGTCTAAGCCAGAACCTCTACACCTACAGCGTCCATACCCCATCCAGCCCAAAAGTGCCCGGGAGGGAAGAAATACATGAAGATGTTTGCTCGCTCGGTAACCGACGCTTTAACAGACATTAAGTTTTTGCCGGTAGTTTAAGGAAGGAGAGGAATTAAGCCACGGACAGGTCTGAGCATCTCCCCCTTGTCCTAAAGTCGGGGATGAAATTACCTGGTTGCTTTCGGGACTGAGCCGACCTCCTCCGCTGGGCGTCCCAGGCATCTTTGCCACGGTGGTGCTGTTGGCCATGGAGCTCTGCGGGGGAGTGCTGGCTGGTTCTGGCTTTATCGAGGAGAAGTTGGAGAGGTTGATCAAGGTAGAAGGGCCAAACTGGTTCATAATCTGTTGGGCTTTAGCTTTTAGATCATAAAGCTTATCGAGGTCCTGCTTCTTCTTGGGGTTGTGGGGACCCAAACCAATCAACTGGAAAAGGAAACGAAAGCCACAGTTAGCAAACAGAGAAGGAATTCAACGGGGCGACCACATCTTTATCCAGGGTAAACCGCAGCGCCCCGACGGGGCCCAGAGGTTTATAGAAGATCGGGTCTCTCTGGACGCAGCAAGAAGGGAGGAGCAATGGTTAGAAGAAGAGAAAACATTCCCCGGTATATGGAATACGAAGTCTGCCACGAGAAGCGCAGGGGCTGCACGCGGTGCACTGACAAGAGGCGGCAGCTCTGCTCGTCCCTCGGGCCGAATCCCACGCGCGAGTCCACCCCTCGCCCTCCGGTCGGGGCCTTTCTGAACACATTTCACTCGGACCACGAACAGCTTCGAGGAAGAGACCACGCAAAGAAGATCTAACTAAAGGACGTGGCTTGCTCCCGCGGCAGCAATGCAGGGCGACGGCAGGCGCAGCGTTTGAGTCTTCATCTCCACGCGCCGCGGGCCTGAGAAGAAGACGGGGTTCGAGCTCCCTCGGGTGTCTGCCGCAGGGTGGAGGTCACATTTTCGGCAACACCACACTTCAGGCCTGACCCGCAGCGATCCCTCGAGGCGGGCTTGACAACGTAGGGTTGGCTTTCGGTTCCGAGGGCACAAGTCTGGGTACTCAGAGGTGACGCGACAGAGAAACGCACGCGCACGCCCACACCTTCGATTTGTTCTTCCCACACCGGGCAACCGCCAGCCACAGTAAATGAAGTCAGATTTACCGAGCTGTTAACGGTGAACCAGAAGTGGGTTGCGGCGGCTTGACTGGTTACTCAGATCTTCCAGGTTCACCCTTCGGCACCTGAAGTTATTCAGGTTATCGGCCGCTGAGCTAACACACGGACTGACTGGCAGCTACTACATTTCACGGCTGGAGGGCTCTAAAATCCAGGCTCAGCGAAGCTCTGCTCCCTCCTCACCGCTCCGTGAAAGGAAACTCGTCCAAACCCTGGGCCTTCCGCCCCAACAAGCGGTGTGGGTAGCAGCGACAGGTCCGTCACGTGAAATGAGCATTTAACGAACGGTCTGATGGAAAAGCCCCTCGCGCAGCGGCTGCAGCAGCTGCCGTTGGGCCCAGAGGCTGGGAAGCAGCCGCTGAGAGCGGACGCCTTTATCCGAAAAGCCCGTGGGCTTCAGGGTGAACTTACTTTCGGGAGAAGAAGAGAGTTTGTTTAGACAGCTTTACAGCACGTTCGCACGCAAAGCGCCGAAGGGAGCGTCTGCTACCTGAGCTACAAACAGGCGTTTTCCCCTCATCAGGCCAAGCTTTGTTAGTTCGGATTAATTCATTCCAAAACACAAACCAGAAATCACACAGGAGCACTTAGAAGCGGCTGCTTTAGTGCTTCACTCCAAGGCGCGCTCATGCACTGCCGCACCTACGGACACTGAGCCCTTTTAGGAGAATTTATACCCAAGACACATGTCTGTAGCACCCTCAGCAAATTCCTAGCTCAATTTTAACTAATTAACGATGGAAAACCGTTACATTCACACCCTAAAACCCCTCAGACGGCATTTCTGGACGAGGAGCTCGGCACGGGATCAGGAGGGACTTCAGCGTGCTAGTCTTGGTTTTAGCTTAGGCTGATCTCAGGCTGCTCGCCCCCCATGCCTCAGCCTACAAATCCACAAAGCGGGAATTCTTACCCACCATGCAGGGGAGAAAGCTCCGAAATCCTTGGGCAGAACGCGCTTTATCAGCGGAAAGTCGTTTTGTCCATTTATTTGCGGATCTCACGGCAGCCTCTGCGTGCCGTTAAGATCACCAAACACAAAACCAACGGGATGCGCAGATTCCCAGGACAAATCCCGCATGCCGGCCCCGTGGCAAGCCCCGGCCGTTTACTTACAGCTATCTGGGTCTCTAGATCTTTAATTACATCAGCAACCGCTGTGGGGCCAGCGAACGGAGAGGCCATTTTCCAAAGCCTTCCCAGTACGTCGGCAGTCAGCGTTAACCTACTCTCGCTTCCTCCTCTTCCACATAACTCTCATTCCTACAGGAATACCAGATATTTTTCGTATCACCCATCCTATCGTAAGATCGCGAGAGGAAACAGTTTCCCGCAAGAGAGCACGCGTTCTCCTCGCTAGGGCGCAAGAGGGTTTATCTGTCAGAAGGTATTACACGGCCGCGGGCGGCACGCGAGCGTACGCTGCTGCTGCGGAGGACAAGGCGTCTCCCAGGATCCTGAAGCGGGAGCAGAAATTTGGCCGAATTCCGTTTTTCTGTCAGAAGACAGAAGAGCATCTGCTGTCAGCAGCGACGCGCAGGTGAGCCCGGACCTCCGCAAGAGCGGAGGGCGGGGGGGGGGGGGGCGGGGGGGGGGTGATCTGGTGGGCCGCTGACTCTCGTCGATCCGCTGTAACTCATTAAGCTGGTGCTACAGCCGCAATCAAAAGTCTACGTTAAAGCCAGACAAACCTTCAGCTCCATTCCCTGGAGCGCTCGGGGGAGGGGGGGTGTGTGTGTGTGTCCCACTTCCATTAAGACGTAACGATTTTCACCAAATATTTAAATAGGTCTGCAAAGGACCGGGCGGTCTGGGTGTCTCCTTATTGTTACCAGAGGAAACTGGGAAAGTTCTCGGGTTTTGCTTCAGTTATCGTAAGCGCGAGGCAGAGTCCTGCCTTCCGCTGCTAGAGGGAAGCCTCTGTCGCAAGCCCTTCCCCGCGAGGCGACCGGCCCGAAGGCAACGGACAGGGAAGCCCTTTTATTTTTCCCCCGGGACGGGTCCGTCAGACGCCGAAGGGTAACTCGCACCCCCTTCCTCCGCGCCGCCCGCCTTCCAGCTTCGCCTTTTACCCCCGAAGCA